AAACTTTCAGACAAGGTCTCCTTAAGTCACTAAGTTCCCTAGGCTGGCCTTGAACTGATGATTCCCCTGCCTCAGCCTCCCAGAGGGCCGGCGTTACAGGCTTTGTCATGGCGCCACAGCCATTGCTGTTTAATGGTGCCCTTTGCTCCTTTACATCTCCACCACACGCCGTAGGCCTGCATAGCTATCGCGATGTGCAGTGTGGGTACTGTGCAGCGTAGGTACTGTGCAGCGTGGGTACTGTGCCTCTGCTGTAGGCCTGCATAGCTATCACGATGTGCAGCTTCCTAGGGAAGGGACAAAACCAAGGCTCTTGTTCACCCTTAGCCAGCCAGGGCCACCCCGGAGCTGGGCACAGAATGAGGCTTGGCGAGGATCCGCTGCAAAGATCAGTTACTGTTTTAAAATTACTACAAGTGTGAACAAGCAACCCAGAGAAGGAACGAACCGAAGCACCTCAGGCAGGCTGCTGCATTTCCTCAGGCTTCAGGTTCCTAGGCAGGAGGAACCCAATCACTTCTTTGCACAAGTTTGCAAAGAATAAAACAGTCATCCTGCCCCCACAAGAATATGATCCTTATGTACTGCAAATGTATAATAATAAAAATAAAAATTTTTGAAAGAGGGGCTGTAACAAATAAAAACACATAAGGTTGGCACATGAAGAGCTGCTTGCAACATATATTTAAAAATCCAACTGAACAAATACTGCACCTCTTCCTGACATGAAACAATTTAGAGATGGCTGAGGTGATGCTGGTAGCATCAGGATGGTGATCAGTTTCTTTCAAGTAACAAAGGAAACACACACAGGTTTGGGCTGCTTTTGGCTCTTATTTCCTTTGCTTTTCTCAAAAATCTACTTTCTTTTTTTTTTTTTTTTTTTGGTTTTTCTCCAGTACCGGGAACCGAACTCACGACCTTGCGCTTGCCAGGCAGGCGCTTTTGCCGCTGAGCTAAATCCCCAGCCCCAAAAATCTACTTTCTTTTAATCACGGCATTGTCAATTACTTCTCTCAGCAGAGTAAGAGAGCAGAAAGGGCTCAGGTCTGGATGCAAGTCCATCGCCTCCTCTGTGACCTCAGGCGAAACCAGTAATCCGTGCTGAACCTCAGCGTCCTGCTATCAACATGGCAGCTGCTGTGGGAAATTAATAAGAATCACAGGTGTGAGGTACCTGGCCATGGTGAGCCCCGAGCCCAGAGCCTTGCCAGAGCTAAGCTTCTGGGGGCTTCCAGATCCTGCCAGCCTTGCCAGGCTCCACCTCCCTTCTGGTCCCAGTGTCTGTTGGGTCCCTGCCCCTCCACTGTGACAACAGTCAAGGAGTCAGATAAAAATCAAGGCAGGTGCTGGGGATTTAGCTCAGCGGCAAAGCGCCTGCCTGGCAAGTGCAAGGTCGTGAGTTCGGTTCCCGGTGCCGGAGAAAAACCAAAAACCAAAAAAACAAAACAAACAAAAAAAAAAAAAATCAAGGCAAATATTCTTCCTTCCAGTCTTCTCTGTAAGAGGCAGTCTATGAATAAATGATGTGGAAACCAAATCACCGAGCTGTCCAAGGAAACGCTAAATCCAAAGAGAAAACTAAATCTGAGGACAGGACAAAGGCACAGCTCCAACGGGCTCAGAAAGGAGGCCACAAGCAAGTCACCTGATGGCATATTTAGAATCTCAGCCATACCTCGAGTAGGAATTACACACAAGATAAATGATGTGCTGGAGAAAAAGGCTATTTTTAGTGGGGAGACAATCGGGGATTTCCGTGCATACTGAGCTCCTCACATTCTGAGTGCTGTTTTCTTTCTGGCCACTGCTATGCCCGACTGTAGGTCAAGACAGAAAGATTAAAAGTAACTGACAATGCTATGATTAAAAGAAAGAAAAGACCAGGTCCCTGCAGCCAGCATCCAACCACGGTGTCAGACACTGAACTGGCATTCGATAAAAATCGAATGCTGGCGTAGAGGTGATGGGGGGTGGTTAGAAAGCCAGAGAAAAGAAGGAATAAATTTACCTCTCAAGCTGAACACTCTCAGGCCATGCCTGATAATCAGTGTTACACACTCTTCAGGCAAAACAAGATCCACTCCCAAGGAGAAATAAATACAAAACTCCAGAGCCACTGTGCAATTATAACAATGGAATCTTCGTGAATGTCAACATCCCTATTTCACTCAAGCATCCAGCAAACTGCAGACCCTGCTTAAAATTTCATGTAACACAGGAATAACAAAGACATGGCTTCTTGTACCCCCATCACTTTTTAAAGCAAAAACAAACATGGGAGGATTAAGACTTTCCTATTTTAAAGTACCACTGAATCTGGCTGGAAGGTTACAGAGTGCTATCTATTTGCAAATTAAATATCCTGGTGCTGATTACACAATCAAATTCATTTCACTCTACTTGTCATTTTTGTGGGGGGTTTTGAGGAGGGACAACTTATATCTCAAAAACATTGCTAACTAGCTGTTCTTATCACATACCATACCAAGTGACCTTTATGAACCTCTGCCAGGAACTTTCCTCCTTGGCACTGAGGAAGGAGGAAGGGTGGCAAATTTTAAATAGTCATCCTTGGAATTCTGATCAAGGAATTAAGGGAAGAAGGGCATCGGAAGGGTTGCACAAAGCTGCAATACCCAAGCCACAAAGCCCTGAACGTCAGACGTGGATAGACCAAGCACAACTCCCTCCATGCTGCAAGATTGATCCTGCACTCCACGGACTCCCAGGCCTGGGTCACAAAGGTACAGGGCAAGAAAGTAGCATCCTTTTCCACAGAATGAGGGCCCTTCCCAGTGGGGCACCAGTCAGCTCACAAAGGGGCATGAGGCGGACACAGAAGGGCTTTTCTACCAGCGCAGTCAGAGGGCACCACTAGAAGGAAGGGGCAGGGCTGCCCGGGCTCTTATCTTGGGTCCATCTCTTTATCCTACAAGACTATTTCCCAGGTCCAGGCCAGCAGGATCAGGCAGCTGCTCAATTTTGCTTCTACGACCTCCTATTTTCAGTACTGTTTTCTTTTTTCAAAATGTGTATTACTCTACGTCTGCTGTACCAAATGATTACATTCACCGTGGGGAGTAGCGCTGTTTCAATGCTCTTGGGAAAGAATACAGGAAGCGCCAATCGTTTTTAACACTTCTCTTCCGTGTCTGCTCGTATGACCCAGGCTCAGACGCAGTTATCACCCTAAGGACGCTTTTGCACCAAGTATCTTTCATGTCATTATCGTGAAAGACAAAAACAGCATCCCAAGGAGACAGGTTACGGACTCACCATCCAAGAGGTGGGGAGACTAAGGCTCAGAGGAGTCTTGTTAAATCTAATGTGTCCAAACCTAATAAGGAAAAAGGTGCTTTGCACTCATCAGATGTGTAACAATGGATAAAACTCTTAGCCTTCATTGAAACACAAATTATTTGACTGTCACACACCAAAAATAAGATGCCCTTCCAAGAGGGCCAAACCAAGCAGGGACTCTGAAAGCAACGACACATTTTTTAAATGTGACACAAATATACAGCATTACATTTAAAAAATAAGGCATTATAGGTTATCAGCATCATGATAATTCTGAGGTCATAGAAATTACTCCCCAGTGGGCAGTGAGTGGGCGAAGCTAAGCATCTTGATCTAGAATCAGAAAGGTTTCCTGTAAAAGGAATGCAGATTCAAGTGTTCCCATGTGACTCTGTTATTAATAGTCAGGAATCTAACAAGAAAACAAAGAAAGTAAACAACAAAAGTATCGATTACAATCCAATAAGAATCCAAGTACAAAGATATAAAGCCCAGCTTGGAAGGATCTTAACTTTTCTTGTATTAATTACACCCCTAGCTGCGTGCAAGACAATAGTATCATCCTAGTCCTCAAGGTGTCATCTCAATTTTCATACACAGTGTTGAGCACACAATCAAAAATACTCAGGCACATGAGGAGAAAAGAAAATACAATAACTAAGAGATACAAAAGATAACAGACAGAAAGAAGGACCAGATAACAACATTTTTGAAGACTTTAAAATTGTTATGCTTAATATGCTGGCTGAAACAAAAGATAAGAGCATCATAACAGAAAACTGGAAACTGCAAAAGGGAAACATACGAAGCAGTCATTTGCAAATGTTCGTCAAAAGGAAAGAAGCAGAGGCAGCGTTGAGAGACCTTATCTAGTGACGGTAAGTTAATAAGCCAGACTTATGTGCCCAGCAGGAGAAATCTTGGGCTATGTGGCATCCTAAGAGCCTGGACTCTGGAGCCCTTTGCCCAGTTTGAGACCCAAGCCTGCATTCACTAGCCTGTGCCCTTGGGATTAACCTCTCACAAGTCCTCACCTGTAAGATATAAAAACAGTACTTACTTCATAGGGTTACCGAGAGGATTCCGCCAGTTCTCAAATCATTGTCTGGCATGGCGTTCTATTGTATACACGTAGTACAACATAATTCTCCATTAAATAAACAAAAAAAAAACTAAATTCAGCTCAGCAAACTATCACAGCACTTGGTCTCTCCTCTGCTTCTAGCCGCCTCTCTTCTGTTTTTCTAGACCCCTTACCTCAATCCACACATCAATGACATTTAGCCACTTACATTTCATCAACTGTGTCTAGCTTGTGTCCATCCTTCCCTCTGTCCTTGCCTCCCTCCACCTGAGAAGGCTTTCCTCACTTAATCCACTTAGAAAGCTTCTCCTCCACCAACAAGAGCTAGTTACAACATCAGCTCCTCTGGGAAGCGTGTCTACGACCCCGGAAGTAAGGACTTCCTCTTCTGGACTCAGCCAGCTCTCACCTTCCTGTTAGCAAACTGTATGATCACACCTGTTACACATCCGTCTTCCCCAACACACTGACTTGCCTTGTAGCAGTAGCTGTGTTCAACGCAGAGCAATTGCTAGGTTATGACTACAGAATGATGAATGAACAATGACCTAAGTGAAAGAGTGAAGGGCAGTCATATCCTCCATCAAACTGCAAGGGGATTGAGAAGTCTTACTCTTCCAAGGCCGGCAGCATACTCCTAGGGTCCTCAGAAGTGAGGATGTCGATCATTTGGTCGTTGAGAGAGAGATCCTCATTTATGCCATCAGCTGAGGCAAATGGAGAGGGCTCCAGCTTGTTCTCAGGGTGCAGCGTCTAGAGAAGAATTACAGAAACAACAATTGAGCAGGCCTTCTCGGGATGCCACATGCTGGGACAGAAGGAAAGGCCAGATCTGCAGACAGAGCACCTGGCCAGCCTGCCACACTGTGGGCTCTTAGGGTGCCAGATGAAGTCACAAAAGCCCCTGTACTTCCATGAGGTCAGAGCTCCAACAGCCCCGCACACGGGTATTGTGGGCATAAAAGGAAGCAATGGATGGAAAAGGCTTTCAACCTGCAGAGACCTACAGAAATATTACACCATCATCACCATCACCATCAGGGAGAGGGGAACCCGTAAGTGGCTGGATGCACCTCAACACCACAGATCTGGTTGGTTTCCAGTTAGAACACGGGATTCAGAGATGGAACTGACATTAAAGAAAAGTAAGCCCAACTTTCTCACTGAATAGATGAGACCTCTGCTTTTTCCCCCCAAGATCATTAATTCTGCAGAAATGGCTGACAGTTAATAGCTCACATTTAAGAATTCTTGTTCCTATACCAGGTAGAATTGGGAGAACTTTGTATGTGTTAAATCATGAAACTTTCACAAAAATGTTGGTGTCCCCAATTTACAAATAAAGAGACTGAGGCTCAGAGTAGCGCAGTAATATGCTGAAACTCACACCGCTCAAAAAGAGCCAGGCTTATACTCTCTCGATTTGGTCTGACTCAGAAGCTGTCTTCCTTTTACAGCACACAGTCTCACTGGTTGCTACCATGCTGGCAAAAAAATAAAGAAAAATGTGCAAAGATTTCACTCTGCAGCGTTGGGGGAAAAATACTGCAAGGGTCTTAGGCCTTAATCACGTTCGCGTTCTGTGCAGTTCTCCTCCTGCAGCTGTACCAATCTGCCTTTAATCTGCAGGAAATAAGTCCTGTCCTCTGTTGCAGTAGCAGGGCTCGTCCTGTCCCGCTGATGGATGACAGCTTGGGGGAAATGCATACAGGCAGTTTTTCTTCTCTCCGCTCTTGCTTGCCAAGGAGACAGAGGGCTGGCTGTGCTTTGAATTAGCAACCCCTCCCTCACCCCCAACAGGCAGAGACAGAGCTAGCAAGGGATCCTGCGGTGGGGACAAGACTTCTGTCTCTGGAGAGACAGTGTCCCCAGAAACCAGGTTGCACCCTGGCTTGGCTGTTTGACCTCCGGGATGGCAGTCTTCTCCACACGAAGTGAGAGAAGAGGATGGTAAGTGTTCTGTTCCAGGTGTGGGATCTGTGGGTGACAGTGAGCCACAGTGGCTCCAGCTCTCAATGGCCCAGCACGGACAGACCCACCTACCAAGGACGCCCTGGAGGAAGGGAGCTCTGTGGCTCCCTAGTCGGCTTTTCTTTCTGTCCCTCCACCCATCAACTGGAAGAGTGCTCCGTCACCACTCCACCCCTGTGCGCAGTGTCTTCCAAACACAGCCCCCACCCCAGGCAAGGGCATCACAGCAGACCAGCCTCTGCCACACCCCTCACCCGAACTGCTGCAGCACCCACTGAGCAAAATCCCCAGGCAGCACCTACATCCCTTCCCTGAGGCATGCTGGCCTTCATACCTCAGGCTAAGACACAATGCCACCCCTCCTCCTGGCCTTCCCTGCCCCTGCCCACCCTTAAAAACTGATAGATCTTGGTGGGTATCACCTAGCCCCACCGCACCTCAGGTGGAGTGGCTGGTTCTGCACCATTTGTGGAGCCCCTGGGCAGGACTCAGCTCCAGGCGCTGGTGCTTACAAGTCTCCCCCTGTTTACTTCCTCACCCCTCCCACTATTTCTGGGGACCACTTCCTACACAACCTACCAGAAAGTGAAACATGTCTCAGGGTGTGCTTCCGCAGAACCCAGACTAAGAGATGGAGGAGTTCAGAGTTAGAGCTAGCGTATTCTAGCAAGTGCTGGTGGGGGTACCCAGAAAGACCCCTTAGCCTGCTAGGAAGTGGCCACCAGTGGTTTCCAGGGAAGGAGACGTCTGAGTTTAGACTTCAACAATGGATAACAACTGTGCCAATTTGGGGAAGGGGGAGAAGCACACAAGTGTGAGCAGCACCCTTGCGAACACCAAGTCACTGGACATGGTGGAAAGCAGGTGTCACGCGAGGAATAGCACGCGAGGTGCCGGAAGCCAGGCTAACAAGGCTGTGCTTCCCAAGGATGGCAGGCAGGTGGAATGGGGCCTGCCCCACAGGTGGGTGCTCGATGTGGGGTTCTCTCACCGCCCACTGGTGAAAAATCACTGAGGGGACCAAACACAAATCAACCAAAGCGTCCAACAAAGACCAAGATAAAGAAAACGTGGCACATACGCACAGCGGAATACTGTTCACCATGAAAAGACAATACACTGTCACAACATGGATGACCTGGACGACGTTGTGTGGAGTGAAATAAGCCAGGCACGGAAGGACAGAGGCACATGGTCTTGCTCACGTATGGAGCCCACCATCACTTAAAGAGCTGATGTCTGGCATAAAGAGTGGAACAGAGGTGACAGGAGGCTGAGGCTGGGGCTGGGGCTGGGGCAAACAAGGCTGGCCAGAGGGCACAATGTCATGGGTAGGTGAGAGGAGTAAGCAGCGTTGTGCCATCGCACGGGAGGGCGCGGACAGTCAGTGAGGACGTGCTGGCAACCAGAGAGAGGATGCCGAATATTCCCAGCACAAAGAAACCATAGCCATGCTTGCCTCCCTGGTTTGATCATCACAGTGCCCCTGTGTGTCAGAATGTACCACTGTGCCCCAGAAACTTATACAATTATTATGTGTCAGCCGGGCATGGTGATGCATGCCAGTAATCCCAGCACTCGGGAGGCTGAAGCAGGAGGATCGCTGTGAATTCGAGACCAACCTGGGCTACAAAGTGAGCTCAAGGTCAGCCTGAACTGCACAGGAAGACCCTGTCTCAAAAACACCAAAAAACAAAAAAAATTATTATGTGTCAATTAAAAACAGAACTTGAAAGAGAATCATCCAGGGAGCTTTTTAAAAGGACTCATGATGAGATGTACCCCAGAAGGAGCACATCAGTCCCAGGAGGGGCCCGGATGTGAGTACTGTCCTCAGATTCCCAGCTGGGTCAGTTGTCTACCAGTCAGGCTGGAGGGTGAATGTCCACCTTGAACCTCCACCTACCCAAATGCCCTGGGAGGAAGACTCACCTGGTGTCCGGCAAGCAGGCTGCCAGGAAGACACCGATAGCGTGCCAGGAAGAAAAGTGCCACCCAGCTCAGCACCAGGGAGACGAGGAAGCCGATGACGAAGCCTGCTGCATGGAGACCATGATGGGGGAGGACCTGCAGGGACAGGAAGGAGAGAGTCACACGGGGTCATGTGGCCCATCTTCCAGGTCATGCAGATGACCAAGAGGCTTAGCAAAAGGCACACACAGGGGGTCAGAAAGGCTGCCAGGGTCTGGACTGAGCTATGCCAGAGACTAGCTGGTCACCTCGAGGTCTCACTGGCCCTCTCTGAGCCTGAACGTGCTGATGGAGTTCAAAAGGGCAGGGAAGGGCTGAGTGAGGGTTGGCACATAGCACAGCCAGCACGGCATATGCACTAAGCAATGTAAGTTCCCACATCAAACATGCACCACTCTAAGGCAGAAGCCAGGGGGAGACGCAGGCTGTCCCCAGAAGAACTTTCCATCAGAGGCGCAGTCCAGACCCCAGGGGGAGGATGCCCACTGCAGGGGACACATTGCTGCAGGAGGTGGGCAGGGTGCTGGGCACTCAGCCTGACAGCACACGCACAAGAGCACACACAGGCTGAGCATGGCTGGTAGATGCACCACCCAGATCCTCTTTCAGGAAGGACTTGGTCCCCAGCTATGGGCAGATGGCACTGTCACAGCCTCCAGGCTCCAGGGCAGAATCAGCTGCAGAGAGAGAGCCACTGCATTTGATGTCACACCCTTCCTGGGACAACCTACATCAGGTGGCAGAGCACAGCAAAAGCATGATGACAGCTGTTCCAGCCTGAAGGACACCGTGACAGGCAGCACCTGCTGCCTGGCCTCCCGCCAGGTCGGCTAAACTCTGCCAACCAGATCACAGCCTGTGCTTTCCCTCCACCCAGTCCTGATCATCCCCTGCGCCATCACAGGAGGCCATGACTGTGTCAGGTGCCTGAGATGACCCATGGGTTTGATGGTCCACTGGATGGACTCACTATGGTCCAGTTTCTAGCTGCTCACAGCACAAGATGCCCAGCAAAACCAGAAAGGGGAGGAGAAGCTTCGGGCGAAGCCCTGTGAGGCCGCATTTCCTAAGGTCCCTCCAGGGAGGCACACAGATGTGCCCAAGCCCCCCAGCAACGCACTGTGACTGCACGTGAAACACGGCAGAGACTCAGAGCTCAGGGTTTAAACTTGGGGTGACCCCTTGGGCCCCTCTGCAGAGGCTTACACAATTCCAGACCCCCAGAAGGACTGCGGGTGTGTGGCACAAATTTAAAAAAAAAAAAAAATCGGTTTAGTCACAGTGAGCTAAGCTGATCAGTTTTGGGAGAGGCAGGCTCCTCCTGAGATCCCAGATCTCAGAGGCCAGTCCAGGCCCCCTTGCACGCTGGCCTTTCTAAGGATAGTGGTCTCAGGCCCACTAGGTTCACATTTTTTTGCTTACTGGCAAACACACCATACCCACCTCTGTCTCCACAGCTGCTTCCAGAGAAGCCAGCCTGGGAGAGCAAGTTTATTTCACAGCAGCCACAGACGAGGGCAACATTTATGGCTTAGGGGCCAGAAGACAACTAACCTGTTCCTCATCCCTGGGGCCACAATGCAGGGGACAGTCAAGGTTAAATCCTCCTGACAGACCCAAGAGCCACCCGGTCTTCCAGACCATGAAGCTGGGTTAGACAGACAGGAGCTCCCACCCAGGTGTCTACCGGAGCCTGAATTAAACTGTGACAGCACACACACTGTGCTGATTAAGGATGGGCCTCTGTCCACACGGATGGTCAGGAACCAATTCCGCTTCCTGCTCTGCCCTCTGGAATCTTGAATTTTGATTAGCACCAATTCTGACTAGCAGATTCTCCATGTGTGCTGGAAATATTCCTCTGAGCCCTGAGCTCTACGCCCTGTGCTGATTGTGTACCTACTGGAGAAGAAAAATCAATAACTGGGTAAGTTAAGAATAGCATTGTGTGGGGGCAACGTTAAAATATTGAAAGGACGGAGACAAACAAAAAGTTTCTGAAGAGAACAAAAGAGCAAGGGGTCAGTAATCTGTTTTCAAGGTTTGTTCTCTCCAAGGAGGCAGCAACTTGCTTTTCCAGTGTTAAGAAGAGGGATGGGCTCCTAGAGGGAATGAACAACGTTGATCACCTACAAGATGCCAGGTTCTGGGGTGAGCATGTGTGGTGAGCTCAACAGTGCCCTCCAAAGAGATATGTTGAAGCCCTAACCCTTAGTACCTATGAATGTGAGCTTATTTGGAAAGGTCTTTGTCACTGTAATCAAATTAAGATGAGGTGACACTGGGTTAGGATTGTCTTAAGTTCAACAAACATGTCCTTCTAAGGAGAGGACAATAAGGAGAGGATAGTCACACAGTTGAAGGCCCAGGGCTTCTGCAGCTAAGAGAAGCTGTGAATAGACAGGGAAGGATGGGTCTCCAGAACCTTTCCCTGGAATGGGGACCTGCCAACGCTTCAGACTTTCAGCCCCCAGGACTGTGAGAGAATGAATTTCTGTGTGTTAAGGCTCCAAGCTTATAGTGATTCATTATGTCAGCCAGAGGCCACTAACACAGTACATTATAAACTTCACCTCACACACTCTTCAGCAGCCTCCGTTCTACTGCGAGACAAATCAAGATGCAGAGAGATTAGTAATGAATGTCTACAGCTAAGAAATGACAGCTGCACTGTGCTGGACTCCAGCGTCTGTAGCCTTCCCACTGGATCACATTACCTTCCATCCAGGAGGTTGTAGGCTTTCTTAAAATACTCTCAGTCCCAACTTCCTACTCCACTGTAGAAAGTACAATACTTGTCTGACCGATGAGAACAAAAGCAAAGATTGGGACAGAATTACATGTGGGTAAAAGGCAATGAAAGAGCTCCCTAACATATTTATCCCCCCGCCCAATCCGAATCTATCTCCTGAGATCTGACGTCTTTCTGCCATGTGCCTGGGCAAGAGGATTTCAAAAGTAGAATGCTGTGGTCCATTCCAAGGAGCAGGAGCTACCTTAGTTACCAGTACAGTTATAAGAATGGCACTTATATCTAGAAAGAGGTAAGTCCAGCTCTGGGAATACCGCCAGCCTTTTCATCTTGCAATTCTTCTTGACACCAAATGACAGGCAAATGTGGGTGGCGCCTGCTTCCTTGGAGTAAACCCACTCCAACCCCACATCTCCAGTCATCTCTGATGCTCTATTACACAAGGCCCTAATTCCTGCATGTCCACAACACCTGACTCTTCAACTTCCTCCATGAGGTGGTCAAAGAAGACTAACATCTCATGATGCAGCTTTCTCTGAAGCTCCATACGGTCACTAGTTACCATTACCACATCATCACCCTCAGTCCTCACTATCACCATCAATACCATCACTACACCATTATCTCCATCCTCACCACCATCATCACCAAGATCATCATCATTATCACCATCACCTTTGTTGTATCTAGATGTCCACCTAAGGCTTCATGTGCTCATAGGTGTGGCTTTTTAGAGGTGGCAGGATCTAGGGTGTGTGACTGTGGATTAAAGGTGTGTGATAACTAGATTAGTCTACTGACTGATATAGTGTAGTTCTGGGGATGGCTAATGAAAAGGCCCACCCTGGGTATGGGTGGTACTGACCAATAGGCTTGTAGCTTGAATGAAATAAAAGGGAAAGTGAAGGTCACTGCTCACTGCCTCCTGCCTGCCCTGCCATGGACTGTTTCTTCTTCACCAGGTTCCTCTGTCATGCTGCCCTGCCTTGGAGCCAGCCAACTATGGAATGAAACCTCTACAAACCATGAGTTAAAATGAACTCTTCCTCCTTTGACTTTTGGGTGTCAGGTATTTTGCTCCAAAATTGAGAAAGTAACTAAGACAATCACCATCCTCTCCCACCGTCATTGCTACTTCACCAGTTATCCCCATAGTCACTGTTATCTCATCACCACCACCATCATAGCTAATGTGTACTGATTAGATACCCAGCACCAGCTTGGTTCGAGGTTTTACACATTTTAATCCCAACAGTGGTACTATGAAGTGGATTCTATTTTAATTCTGATGTTATAAATGATGGTAAAGTACAAATAAGTAAATGGCCCAAGTCCAGAGGGAGTAAGTGGTGGACCCAAGATTCACACCTACGAGTCAGTGACCTTCATAACCACAGCTACCACTCTGGGGTCAGGCTCCACATAGGCCTCTCCTAGGACCGCTGGGTCGAGTCACTGGGGGATGCATTACTGTCACATGTTGCTTCCCCCTCTGAATACGTAATTTGCCTTTCTGGGGATGAGAAAGTTATCAGGGAAGGATTTTTAATTCATGTATCTAGTCAAAAACCATTATAATCTCCTTAGAACAATCCCTAACCATCGGCACATTTATTTAATATCTTTACAGGCCAGACTTTATTCCCTTTTTATCTTTCAAACACTTTAGACTAGAATTCTCTGCCCATTTCACAACAGAAACAGAACTTTGCTATAGTTTAATATGCATGAAACTCTTCTTAAATCGCTATGTCACAGTAGGTTACCAGGTGTGACCCAGAGGTTGGATGTGGTGGCAAACTTTGCTGATGTCTAGTGAATTCCCAGAGCTAGTGAGCCCTGTCCTGGGCAGCCAAAGGGATGTGGCCCTGCTCCAAGGACGGATGGATGGTATGTGGACACTAGAAGGCAGTGTACCTAGCCTAGCCTGGGAAGCTGGTGGACTAAGAGAGGAAGCCCTAGCTCAGCTCAAGGATGTTTCCCAAAAGGTGGCCTGGTGGGCATGGAGTATAAGCCAGGAAAAGGGAGTTATGGGCAAGACCTACAGGTACCAAAGGAAGCAGTCCAGGGCCCAGACACCTTTGAGATCAGTTCGGGATTCACCACATCATCCCAGGAACTTGGGAGGATAGAGTAGTGGTTTCAGGCAGGAAGACACGTGGCCAGATCAACCAGGAAAGACAACTCTGGAGGCCGCACGCCCTCAGTCAGAAAGAAATAGTGAGTGAGGAACAAAGTTGCCAACACAGCAGGAAGTGCTGGTGAAGACCTTACACTGCAACCCTAGTTGAGGGGTCAACGCCAGCTCTGCCCCGACTATGTTGCAGGACACTGGGCCTCCCCT